GGAGACAACTGAACAAAAGAGATGGATTTCATGTGTGTATATTTTATTTTCTGTTGGAACTCCCATTCAAATATTTTCACTGATTATAATGATTAAACTAAGATACGGGATCCCAAACCTTTTAGTGAAATCAATAAAATGCTGCCATAAAACAGATTTAAATGGAATCTGTTACATATACAGTACTTACAATACTACAGTAAAAGAAGAGGAGGCTGAACAGTTATAAAGCATATGACTGTTATCATGCAAAAGAACAAAAAGCAATGCTTGGTCTGTAGGCTTACCTAATTAATCATATGGTGTGTTACTCTGGTCTTTGAGGTGAATAAATCCCAGAACATAGTTGGATGGTTTCCAGTCTTAATAAAGTAATAGAGGTCCAGGCACTCCTCGGAGTGCCTGGACCTCTATTACTTTATTAATTTTTGGAAATCTGGTGTTTGATTCCGGTTCAGCATGCACCCTGGCTCAGATTTATGAGAGTGAGTGCAGTTCCACACACACTACTAAAGGTTTCCAGTCTTAGTCTAGATCAAGGATTGGCAACCTTCGGCTCTCCAGATGTACTGGACATCTCGCCTGATGCTTTGCTAGCATTATGGCTGTAAAAACATTGTGGGATATGTAGTCCACAATATCTGGAGTACCTAAGGTTGCCTAGGCCTGGTCTAGATGACTGAATTACCCTCTCCAGTTTGATGGTAGGAAGGGCAGAGATGGTCTGGTCCTCTTTGAATTGATCTAATATTCAGACATGTGTCAACCAACTGGAAGCTCTCAGAAGAGGGGGCATACAAAAAGGGAAGTATCAGCATTGCAGATGTTATAATTAGTAACAGAGTTGGTTGTAGTAGACATGTGCAATTCGGTTCGGTCCGTATTGAAATTCGGACGAATTTTCGGACATTCGGATGCTTCAGAATGTCCGAAGTGGCAAATTTTGGAAGTCCGAACCGAAGTGCTGAAGTGCTGAATTTCCGAAGTGCTTCGGACTTCTGAAAAGTTGCAAAACGGGTAGGGGGAGGATTGGGGTAGGGCTAGGGATACCGAAGTGCCGAACCACTGAACTGAAGTGCCGAACCACTGAACCGAAGTGCCGAACCAAATTCTTTGCCCATGCAAATTTCTGTTCTAAACATGTTGATCACTAAGTATGTAAACATAAAGTAAAATAATGACTGCATGTACATTGCTATTATGTCATTTTCAGACACATCTTTTATGGCGTTGGGCAACCTTCGGTCCCCCTATATATAATAGGGCGTTTTACTATGCACAGAGACCCATTATGGTTTTAATACATTATCCATTCACCAGCCCACTGCTTAGTATATCAATCCTTGGGATGTGGCAGGACGATAATTAACTGTGGTTCCCATCCTGACAATAGGCTAATTTCTCAACCTAAAAGCAAATTTACAATGCTAAAAGGGAATTCAGTATGTGCAAATTATACATAAACTAACATCATTATTACATGTATAATCCATAGGGAAAAGATGAATTCCCTTTTAAAAACATTAAAAATAGCAGACATAGCTTAGTACAGCATATAAACTATGCATGTGTGTATAGCATTTATAGAAAAATAATATATAACTTATAGTCTTTTTATCATTCTTGTATTCTTTTTATTTAAACACAATTTTTTTACTGTTTTATACTATAAAATGTTTTTTTGTTGAAGATGATTATTGCATATTATTATGTTTCTTACATTTTATTTTTTTATCATAGATTTAGACTTACGGGAGACGTGTTAATTTCCTAGTTTTATATACTGAGTTTATGGTCCAGATACACTAAGCTTTATACATCTAGACATTTGTCCATTAATTTTAGTTCTTTCTTGACAGAGAATATGCTGTTTCAGAGAGGATGTTGTAATGATATTAGTTTAGGTCTTCCAAATTGGCTCTGCAGCCAATTAATGAGATTCTAGGAGACTGGCATTGCCGCTGTTTTATGTGATTTTATGATCACATATGACAATGTCCAGCGTCTGTAAGCGTTTATGGGAATGGGTTAGATTCTATGAAAATCATTCCATCCTGCAATATCAACATGTCAAAGAATTGTCATATTTCCTTGTCACAGAACAGGCACAAACATTTTATGGACACAGTTGTGCTGGTGGATGTCATTATATCATTGCACTTTAACGTATGACCTTTGGGGAATGGTTGGAATTTTAGCAGGTTACCGGTCTTCACTGAATTATCAGTAAAATTTGCCCTGGATTTCTACTCTCCCCATACAGAAATTAGTTTTGCATTCTTCACTTAAAAACGCACTGATATTGGCTATTGGGGGACGATTTCTTTAGTGTTTTAAATGCTACTGACTGAATGAACCCCAATAGCAGGCCAATATTGCATGTTTGTTCTTCCCTATGCCCATTCTTATTGCAGTTGTTTATCCCATTTAATGTACGTTTAGTTGAGATGTTTCCATTTGTTTTGATAGAATCCACCAGTGGAACAGCCCACTGGATCCCCATACACTGCACATTCACCCAGACGTTAAAGATTCTATCAAAGAACTCCAAGATTAAAACACTTAATTTGCCCTCTTTATAAATATTAGTGCTACATCTAACTCTAACACTAGCCCTTAATATAACACTAGCCCTCGCAATAACTCTAACCCTAACACTAGCCCTTAATGTAACAATAACTGTAGCTTTAACAACAACTCTAACCCTAACACTAGCCCTTAATGTAACAATAACTCTAACCCTAACACTAGCCCTTAATGTAACAATAACTCTAACCCTAACACTAGCCCTTAATGTAACAATAACTCTAGTTCTAACTCTAACCCTAACACTAGCCCTTAATATAACACTAGCCCTAGCTATAGCTCTAACCCTAACACTAGCCCTTAATGTAACAATAACTCTAACCCTAACACTAGCCCTTAATATAACACTAGCCCTAGCTATAGCTCTAACCCTAACACTAGCCCTTAATGTAACAATAACTGTAGCGCTAACACTAGCACTTAATGTAACAATAACTCTAACCCTAACACTAGCCCTTAATGTAACAATAACTGTAGTTCTAACAATAACTTTAACATTAGCCCTTAATGCAGCAATAACTGTAGCTCTAACAATAACTCTAACACTAGCCCTTAATGTAACAATAACTCTAACCCTAACACTAGCCCTTAATGTAACAATAACTCTAACCCTAACACTAGCCCTTAATGTAACAATAACTCAAACCCTAACACTAGCCATGAATATAACACTAACCCTAGTTCTAACAATAACCTTAACACTAGCCCTTAATCTAACAATAACTCAAACACTAGCACTTATTGTAACAATAACTCTAACCCTAACACTAGCCCTTAATCTAACAATAACTGTAACACTAGCCCTTAATCTAACAATAACTGTAACACTTACACTTACTCTAACACTAATCCCAGTTCTAAAATAACATACACCTACCCATAACTCTAACACTAGACCTTGCTTTAACCGTAACATTAACCCTAGTCCTAACAATGACTTTAACCTAAACACTAACTCTAGCTCTAACTCTAATACTAACCCTCGCTCTATCCATAACTCTAACACTAGCCATTAATCTAATACTAACCCTAGCAATAATTCTATCCCTAACACTAGCCCTTACTCTAACACTAATCCTAGCTCTAATAATAACTCTAGACCTAACAGTAGCCCTTAATTTAACACTAACCCTAGCCCCAAACTACAACTTTAACCCTATCTTTAACTCAAATACTAACCCTAGCTGTAACAATAACCTTAGCTCTAACAATAACTCTAACACTAATCCTAGTCATCATTCTTACACTAATCCTAGCCATAACTCTAACACTAATCCTAGCCATCATTCTAACACTAATCCTAGTGATAACTCTAACACTAATCCTAGTCATCATTCTAACACTAATCCTAGCCATCATTCTAACACTAATCCTAGTCATAACTCTAACACTAATCCTAGCCATAACTCTAACACTAATCCTAGTCATAACACTAATCCTAGCCATCATTCTAACACTAATCCTAGCCATCATTCTAACACTAATCCTAGTCATAACTCTAACACTAATCCTAGTCATAACTCTAACACTAATCCTAGCCATCATTCTAACACTAATCCTAGCCATCATTCTAACACTAATCCTAGTCATAACTCTAACACTAATCCTAGTCATCATTCTAACACTAATCCTAGCCATCATTCTAACACTAATCCTAGTCATAACTCTAACACTAATCCTAGTCATAACTCTAAAACTAATCCTAGTCATCATTATAACACTAATCCTAGTCATAACTCTAACACTAATCCTAGTCATAACTCTAACACTAATCCTAGTCATCATTCTAACACTAATCCTAGTCATCATTCTAACACTAATCCTAGTCATAACTCTAACACTAATCCTAGTCATAACTCTAACACTAATCCTAGTCATCATTCTAACACTAATCTTAGTCATAACTCTAACACTAATCCTAACATGAGCACACACCCTAGCCCTAAAAGTAACACTCACCCTAGCCTCCCTTTTTCCTACCTTTGCCGTTGTAGACATGGAGTAGAACCTTATCCTTGGGGTGCAGTGAGGAGCTGGGATCTCTGGGTTCACTTGTTGCACAGTTTAACAGCCTGTGCGCCCTTCACTCATTATGTCATATCCCAGCCAGGTAGTCAAAATATATGTGCAGTGAGTGCTCAGAACAATCCTTTTGCTGACTCCCTTTTAGTGCTATGGCATTGTATGGGTTTCTGAGAGCTGAGTGATCTCATATTTACACTTTGATATCCTCCTAACCGGACAATATCTGTTTTCACATGGCATCCAGAGAAACCCGATGTTTCCCACCAGCAAATATCCTTTTTCCCCAGTGGCCAAATCCAGTCCTTTAGTTCTATTAGATAGATTAGATAGATTTGATGTAGGAATAAATGGATGGATATGATATTCCAATATAAACTAAGTGAAACCATATGCGATTTGTGAAATTGCCAACAATAATGACTCTCCATCCTTAATTAGTATCTTATTCTAAATTGCTGAATTCTTTATTAGAGGTTTTGCATTAGGTACTAATGAAAAACGAGATAATGCGCTCCTGGGTGTGGCATTAGATAGTTACTGCTGGTGATATGCATTAGGAGCTATTACTTAACTAAAGTAAATAATGGCAGGCTCATTAAGCAAGAGTTGATGGTAGCTTGACTCTTGAGAGATCTATCAGAAAGTGTTTGCGGATAAATGAGAATAATTCGAGTTATGTATGAAGGATGCAAATTGTCTGATTAGGTGGTAATGCATAGGTGTGATAGAATGCTTACAGATACATTTGCAGATACATTAACTAATTGTTCGCTGTAAAACATTTAGGAATACAGAGTCCTAATAATGTTTACACACCCCACTGATACACAGTAATAACTGTAATCGTGTGAGCATTCCATGATCTTTTTATGATCCTAATAAATATTTCCGACTTCCTTTGCAAATTGCAGCTTCCCTATTATCCAATATAGTGTTATTTAACCCTTACTTTCTTCTTCTTCAAAGACAATGGCATCAGTGAAATTCTGCTTTCAATGCCCTGAATAGTACTGAAATGTCAGAAGAATCTGTAAGAAATCACAAAATACATTTAAAGAGATGCATCAGCCACCTGAAATACAACATTTTTTTGTTCCAAATGAGGTCAGATGTATGATTGGGGAAAACTAAGAAACAGCCTAAAAATATAATATAAGATGACTTTCATCTGCTCTGCTTTCATGGGAATGTTTAAGGCTCAACTTAGTTATTATTGTTTAAGACTCAACTTAGTTATTATTATTATTAATTGTATCATTATTATTTTTACAATAAAATAACAATTACCAGTACAAAAAAGGACCCTATGTCTATGAGATAAACATTTGCATTTACGGGTTCTGGAGTGGCCATAACAGTTCTCCTGGCCTTAATATCATGGAGCCACTCTGGGGAGATCTCAAACATGCAGTTCATGCAAGACGACCAAAGACTTTGCATGAACTGGAGGCATTTTGCCAAGACAAAATGGCTGCTATACCACCTGCAAGAATTAGGGGGGGTCATAGACATCTAATATAAAAGACTGCACACTGTCATTGATTCTAAAGGGGGCAATACACAGTATTAGGAACTAAGGGTATGCAGACTTTTAAACAGGGATCATTTAATTTTTTTTCTTTGTTGCGATGTTTTGTTTTATGAATATGCATACCATAAGAAATAAAAGAAATGTGTTTTGCCGGCTCACTCATGTTTTCTTTAAAAATGGTACATATGTTACCAATTCTCCAAGGGTATGCAAACTTTTGAGCACAACTATATATATATATATATATATATATATATATATATATATATATATTCCAGCCTTGTGTTTAAGAGCTTTTCTGGGAAGCTCCCGCCCTACCTGAGCAGAATGCTCTCCCCGGCTGTTCCCACCTCCTATAACCTCCGATCCAGTACCAGCACTTTATTTAGTCTACCTCAATACAAAAAGAAAGCAGCCCGATCCTCCTTCTCCTACAGAGCGCCGCAATTATGGAATGACCTCCCGCACACTTTAAAATCTTCCCCAAGCCTAAAGTCCTTTAAGAGATCCCTCTCTACATACCTCATGCACCTGTCATGGTTGATTATCTATTTCCTACCTGTTCTATGTTAAATTTTGTATCTATTGTGTATTAATATTGTTTCTGTATTTTATTGTACCCTATTGTAACAATGCAATGTTTTGTGGACCCAGGGCATACTTGAAAACGAGAGAAATCTCAATGTATCAATACTGGTAAAATATTTTATAAATAAATAAATAATAATAAAATAATGTTTTGCAGACTTGACTTTTCTTTTTTTTTTTTTTTTACTTCAACATAGCAGTATGCCAGAAATGTTTTTTTTTCCGCATGTTAGATAGAGACTAAATGATGATAATAATAAATGCAAAATTGGTAACTTGATTAAAATTGCAGTCCCACCAAGTTTATTTTGAGTAAACTATTCCTTGCTCATCCCAAGTTATATGAGTACAATACCAAGAATAAAAAGAGAATGAATAAATATTAAAGCCTCATTTGGGCACAGTCATACGAATGTTTCTTGGGGGTATTGTCAGACCATGGAATGGATTTTTGCTAAAAATAGATACGTTTTAGCTCTTGGCTACCTCACTGATGGGTCATAGCTGAGACAGGGCACGGGTGTTTAGCTGTAAGTGACAATGTTTCGGCACTATCACTGGAAGTGATTGATGCTGTTGTGACATACATTAAAAAATTGAAAGAATATTTTTTGACATGTGACAAAATGTGACAAAGACAAATTATAGTCTCTTTCGTCTTTAAAAAAAAAAATGACAATGAAAACAATCATTTATTTGGCACTCGTGACAGAAGAGTCTGTTTCAATAAACTCCATTTATTTTATTTTTTTGCAGTGCAAATTAGGTACACGGACTTGCATTTACATTGTAAAAGATTGACTTTAGTATGAGGTACAAAGCTTTAACATACAATATCAAGAAATGCTGCACTGTCAACAAGAGTCGACAAGCACATAGAATTCAGTAATGTGTAAAACACATACGCTGGAACTAATATTGACAGACATGCTAAACTGCTATGATTGTTTAATAACCATAAGAAGGACATGTCAATTCTGTGAAAATTGTACCATAAACTTTCTCCCCATGTTTTCATTTCTGTACCCCCACCCCAAACAACAAAATCTTCCAAAATAAAGAATTTAAAAAAAAATAAATGCTGCACTGTTTGTTTCTTTTTTTTTTTATAAATGACATGGTAAATCAGTGTGTGTCTAATGATAGACTAAACAATCTAAGAAAAACAAAGTTGTGTCTTGTGACAACACAAATAACATGCGATATAATGCCCACCACGGAATGTAATCTTAGAGATCTAGTTAAAGGACCACTCTAGGCACCCAGACCACTTCAGCTTAATGAAGTGGTCTGGGTGCCTGGTCCAGCTAGGGTTAACCCATTTTTTAATAAAATTTCAGAGAAACTGCTATGTTTATGAATGGATTAAGCCTTCCCCCATTCCCTCTAGCGGCTGTGTCATTGACAGCCGCTAGAGGCGCTTGCGTGCTTCTCACTGTGATTTTCACAGTGAGAGCACGCCAGCGTCCATAGGAAAGCATTGATAATGCTTTCCTATGCGACCGGCTGAATGCGCGCGCAGCTCTTGCCGTGCGTGCGCATTCAGCCGACGGGGAGGAGAGAAGGAGGATCGGAGGAGGTGAGCTCCCCGCCCAGCGCTGGAAAAAGGTACGTTTTTACCCCTTTCCCCCTTTCAGAGCCAGGCGGGAGGGGGACTCTGAGGGTGGGGCACCCTCAGGGCACTATAGTGCCAGGAAAACGAGTTTGTTTTCCTGGCACTATAGTGGTCCTTTAAGCTGGCTGACTGGCAGGTATTAAAAATATAAAACAAATATAGGCTTGCTTCATTATGGATGCTTGTCAGTGTAGACCAGAGACAACACAAATGAATCAAGATTTAAGTGGCAATGAACTCCATAGGGTAACATCCCCAGGATGTAGGTAGGTAGTTACTTAGATAAAAATATTCTTAGTCTTTCTCTCATTGGCCTATTTGCACCTTATGTTCCCCTCTATGTCCACCGCTCTCTATCTGGGTTTATTTTTCTTATCCAGCTATTCTTCTCCCTTTGTAATTACCTTTAATATTCTCACAGTTACTGTGTGTTTATGTTGAAAACTATACAACCTTGCTGTTGGGCCTGGAATATATTTATACCAGTACAAATGACTGTAGGACTATTTAATACACATGGTGCGCATGACTGCAGTGCTCAGCTAAACATTCTGTCACACAACTTCAGTGTTGTCACCTGTCGGTGTCGTCTGTATAGAATATTGGAGAGATGGTTACTCAGTGCTCGCATTGTTTATTGACGTAAAAGCCAGGATGCTGTATTTCACTCGATTTCTTCCGTCATAGTGGTAGTTTTATAAAGCAACCACAATTTACAAAGATTTGTCGAAGGCATCAATGTTGCAAACCTGGGGAATGGCTTTCATAAGTCAACCTTCCTTCTCCTTAATACCTCTCCGAAGTGTTTTCTGTTGTATTCAGTATATTTGGCTTGTTTAAAACACGCACCCCTTTTTCTGGACTCCTGGCTTGTGTCTTGACCATACTTTGTCTTCCTTCAGCACTGACGACTTGCTCGTTTACTAGCTACTCTGACAGCGCCATGCACTTTTTGTTGCCACTACTTTACAGGAACACTTAGTATCATAGCCATTATAGTACACATATGATTGCATGGTAAGTAGTCAAAATACTTTGAAAGGTTTAAGTCTAACCTAGGTTCCCCAGATGTCCGCAGTCCTTCTGATTTTTCTCGATATTGCTATGCTCAATATCACTTTTATCGGTTCTCAGGCCGTACTCACTTTTTGCAATATATTTGCTGTTTTTTAATGGCACACAAGAGGGCTTGATGATCATGTATCATATACTCAAGAGTGCTTTTACAATGAGATAACTTAAGCCATTATCTTGCTTTTTCACATATCCGTATAAGCCCCTGGGGTTATATTTTATAAAAGAGGTTTATGTAGACGTCAATTTACTTAATGTATTTACTTAATGTTTCATGAATAATTAACAATTCCTTTTTACTAACACACCCTTCCTTAGTTAGATAACAGACCATAAAATTCTGAGTTTGTATGTACAATTATCCACACAAAGTTGGATTTGACAGATTCTACCATTTGAGTAATCCCTGTGTACTTCTCTATAGCCCTGAACTCCATAATGTACTTTGTTATGGAAGGAGCCAGGGTATAAATACAAAATAAAAGCTTTGGGTATAGGCAGTGGAAGACCACCTCCAGAGATTAGATGTGGACATTCTGGAGACTAATCATAAAGCTCATCGATAGTATAGGGATACCATCTGAAATTAGATTGCTAGTTCTATAAAATGAATTATAAAAAGTTATATATATGGACACATTGGTTTTACTTTGCAACATGCGGGATCTAGGGTTATCCTATGAATTTGGTCTTTACACTATGTCATTGGAACCCTCATATCACCCATTCACTAGAGATATTTTGTTGCCATCACTATGAATGAGGTACAAATGTATTTATGCTCAATGGATTATAAGGACAACACTACCCTGCTAGGGTAGTGTAGGAGTTGGGATTTACTGAAAGGGTTATGGTAGTATAGCTGTTAAGGGTTAGCAGTAGTGTAGGTGTTGTGAGTTAGTGTGAATGTTAGTGTAGGTTATGTAGTGTAGGGTTAAAGGTTAGTGTAAGTGTTATAATAGTGTAAGTGGAGCTGTTTCTGGAGACTGGAAAATGCATGTAGTGTAGCGATCAGGTAGAGAGGTGTTTATTAGGACGTGGACATACATAAATGCAACTTTTTAACTTTTTATTGCTTTTGTTCTGTGTATTTGGGCTGATGCATACTGTAATCTTTGCTACAATACTAGGAGTTTGAGCGCAGGGCTTAGTTTTGTATGTTTGTATTTGCTTTTGTATTGCACAGCCAAGTTAATGTGCTGTCACACACCCCATGTGCACCTTTATAAGAGTTAATAAGTGTGTAAGAGTTTATGAAAATACCCCACTCTGTCTCATTAGAGATTTGTTACCTTCTAATTGAAGCAACAAGGTGAATCGTTAGTGGAGGACTCACCTAAGAAGTTTGTAGTGACGGGGCAGGTGAGCTTACACTTTAATGGCCATTG